GACCTCGATCCACTCGGACACTAATTTCCCATCTCAACCCCACCTTTTGAATTTTCCCTCCGAAGATCGTGGGTTCGAATCCCGCTCGTGACACTGACTTTTTTATCTTAACTAAAAACCTAATTAACTGAAAGTTGTCTAGAATATTCAAGGATTGTAAGTTTTCTTTAGTGGCGGATGATTTGAAAATTTTTAACTCTGTCTTTAGCTCACGATTGTATTAGTTTACAGAGGGAACTGGACTGGTTCATTAATTGGTGTGAGCAGAATCGTCTTCCTTTGAATAGTAACAAATGCAAGGTAATTAAATTTACTAATAATATCTTACCTCGTGACTTTGATTGTTTTAATGACTTTGTTTGTTGGGCAGAGATTGGATGAAGTTGACACTATATCCGACCTTGGTGTCGTTTACGATATTTCAGAAACCATATCAAACAAATTCGAGGTAAGGCTCTACGCAATCTTGGTTTTATACCAGTTTTTCTGGAGATTTTAAAAGTAGTTTGGCAGTTAAAATAATAAACAATCCCTCGTAGCCGTTTGGCATATGCAAGTGTCGTGCGGTCCCCTTTCCATTTCGGTGAGATTAGCGGCTTAGAAAAAGTAAAAAAGAAAGCAACCAGGATAGCCTTCAGAACTGGACTTGCGGATCTGAATTACATGAATGAATTGGCTTGCTCTAGAGTCACTTAGCTCCCGTGTTTCTGCTGATCTCATTCGGGGTTGGAATTTGTGGAATGGGGCCCTTGATATCCAAAAGTTATGTTTATCACTATGCCTCAGCGACCACTAAGGAACCATAAATTGTTCTTTGTTTCAAATTGCAGAACAGAATATGCACTAAACTCCCCTCTTCCGATTCTAATGAGATTGCTGAACCATTATTTCAATGACATAGATGTATTTCACGATTCCTTGCATTCAGTTAAAGTCAAATTAAAACGTATACATGCCGAGAATCCCTGAACCATGTGTTTTTGTTATTATCGTTTAGTTACTCAATTGTTTTCTTTTTGTCGTTATGTTCTTTTTTTGGACTACTCCTCTTGTATATCCACTCTGTTGGAGTAGACAAATAAGTATATGTAATAAAATGATAGCAACTCTGCTGACGGGCAACTCTCCGTGGAATGTTTTTTATTTTTTATTTATTTAGAAATATATGTTTTCTTTGTAAAACTTTGCTAATAAAACACATGTATTATTACACTGAGAGAAAAAAGTGGATATTATTAATATGTTAAATTACCTCTTAGACAATCCACCATTACAATTTATTATTGTATAGTAATATTTGATCCGTTTTAAAAGACTGGAAGTAAATAAAATACAGATAATATCTCCCACAAGTGTTTAAAATTAGATTTTGAAAATAGATTTTTCGATAGTTTCGATCTCTTTTTTGTTGTTTTTTCCTGTAAAGGTTCTTTCTAGCAACGTTCCTGCAGTTTGATTTTTTTAAGTTGTACCATTTTTAAATTTTAAAATTGACTGAGTGATAGGTTTAAGTGATACAGAATCAAAGCATTATTGGAAGATGTAAGAAGTCAAGTGTATGTGACCAGGGTGTTCCTAGAACAATTGTCCGAAGGGTCTTCCATCTCTACCAAGATACTAGAGGTTACTCAAGAAGGTATGAATCAGGTCTACGTCGTATCACATCTCAGAGAAATAATCTTTTTGTTTCGAATGTGCTCTGTAATCGACTACAGCAGTTGAGATCGAACAACGACTTCAAAAAGTTAGAAATTTTAATGTCAGCTTACGCGTTAGGCGAAGACTTTCAGAAGGGATTACTTCGAAAAGGTTTGCCGCTGGTTCAAAACTTATGACATGGCCAGAATGTTTCGCAAGAAATCACATAAATTCACAAAAATTAGATCCGACTAAAACCTCGTTTTCATATGTGTCAATGGTTTGTTTGAGGTCTTTTGACGGCCGAGGGAGGGTTTGAAGAAGAACAGGAGAGTGATATATCCCCGCAACATTTTTCACTCCGGAGTAGCTATGGAGGTGGTCCTGTTATGGTTTGGGCAGACATTTCTATGAAGGTCGCACAAACTTGATCTTCATCGAGAGTTCCCTAACAACTGAGCGAAACTCTGTAAATGTGTTATCAGAAGAAGTTGTTCCTTATTTACTAATTAGCGACGGGGGCTCGACACAGCTAGGATCCTTGGTGACTTTGAACGGGCTTCTTTATGTTTGGAGTAGCCAGCATGTAGTCCTGACTTAACCCCTATTGACGAGTTGTCAAAGAGGGGAGAATGTCGCCCAATGATGTCAGAGAATTTGCAGGAATTAAGAATGTCGCTGTTGGAGGAGTATGAAAATATTCCAAAGTGGTACATTCAAAACCTCATAAAATCAATGCCATGTCTTAAGCCATGAAAGAAGAAGAAATATTCCTTCCGCATTGAACTTATTTCTGTTTCCATAGCAACATTTCTGGTAAAACTGTTTTATTCAGCCTAAATTTTTATTTAATTTTTTTAATTTAGCGATATCTTATATTTTTCTATAAAAATATTCAGTAAACAACAACTACTGCAACTATTTATTAAAAAAACGAAGGTAGTCATTTGTTGGCCTCTCAGTGGATTATCATTATTATTATTATTAATAACTTATGCGATTTATAATAATTAGCGGGATTTGCGCTTGTGGGTGGTAGACGGTAGATAGTTTAAATATGTTGCAACAGAGCCCATACACGTTTTGACCTGGGGGCTGATTGCTTACAAAAGATGCGAACACCATTTTCCAAGATAGACCAGATCCTAACTTTTCAAAAATTTCTAACAAATTTTTAGATTAGAAATTTTTACGAAGTTGGATGTGTACCATTTTTTTACAAGCAGTACACTTTTAAAGCACTGCGTTTCGTTAGATCTTTGATATCTTACAAACTTTGGATAATTTTTAGAAAATCTTACGTCGAACAAGATGGCTTTTTTAAATGTTTTCCTATCTTCAGTCATTCATCAGAAAATTCAAAAATTCTGTAACATGTTATTATTTGCCCTTTTAACGAAAATTTTAAATTGAATTATTTTTTAGAAATTGTTAAATTTTTATAAGCTTTCAATTGGTCACCTTCCATTTTGCCCGATTTTTCAAGCGATTTCAAACGATCACTCCCTCTCTCTCCCTATTTACAAGAATGCACAAAATTTTGAACCGCCTTGTTTTCGCAAATTTTAGGCTCTTTTATTCCGAGAACGTTTTCAAAAAAGTGAACATGGAAGCGACAATTCTCACCTTTTACTTACTTTGACCTTTTGGGATTCGAAAAGCTTTTGCTGTCGATACCTTAACATAAGCTTACGTCATCAAGGAAATTCAACTTTTCCTTCCCATTTCACAGGTGTAGAAGCAGTTAAGTTAAGCATAAAATAACTTATTGAAACAATAAAAGAGTAAAATCGGGTGTGAGAGATTGGTCGGTTTTTTCTATGTCCACGTATAAACCACGCTTTTTTCCCAAAAATCGCAATAACTAGAAAACGGTTGAAAAATCGGGCCATGTGGAAGTTGACCAATTGTATTATTTAGTTTAAAAATTATTAAACGAAGTCGAAGGTCGATCTTCTGATAAGCGGACACCTCACTGGAATGGACCAAGAAGCTTCCAACTCCGCCTAAGACTACTTAGCCAAACTAAGTAAGGTTAAGGAAAAAAAACGAAAGCAATCCTTGCAAAATAAATGACTTCATAAACTTTTCAAGGTCATCACAACAACTACTACTATAAAAGTCTCGTTTTTGTTGTAGAAAAGGCAAACAGTTCTGCTTACAAATAGTGGCGAACGAATTTTCTTGCTGTAAGGCTGCAACTTCATTGTCCAAGTTCAACTGGTTCAAAGCCGCAAGGTGTACCCGAAATATTACTGTTCGCAAGTGACACGTAAAGCCATCTGTCATTCGTGGACTCCTGAGGTGTTTTTCTATTCTATGTTTTTCTGTTGTACGCGAAAAGAGACTTTTTCATTTAAATAATCAAAGAACGTAGTGACCTGTTGTCCGTGTCCGTTTATTAGTGCGCCCAGTTATTAGAAGTACTTTATTTTATTAAAGTCAATGGAATAATGCCGGGGAAAATGAAATTTTCCGGCAATGAGGGGTGTCCGGTTATTAGATGTGTTGGTATGGGGACCTCCGACCGTAGTCTTCCACAAGTACGTTCTACACATATTCTGAATATTACCAATTTTCAACATTGCAAACAAATTTTCATCCAATTCATGGCATTCAATTATCTGGGGTCTTTTAAAAGTCCTTTGTTAAAAGTTACAATATTTCTGAAAAAAACGGGTCACAAAAACAATTTAAATGACCATTTATTGATATTTTATATTCGTAAGTCAAAATTTTGCAGTTTAGAGGGTAGACTGTGTGACTTTCCAAACATTTAGAACGCCCATTCTTGCGTCCTAAAAGTAATTATATATGCCTATGTACGTAAAATGTGCTAAGTCACTCTATTCCTCCGGTTTACAATTTATTATTTTTGGGACGGATAAATTTTGTTCAATGAAAATTATTTACTAGTGTAAATGTTTGGGCTAGATACATATTTTTGGCGTTAACATTTTTGTGTCATCGATATCCCACTATTGAGAGTTGGCAAGGGTTGGCTTAGGTTAGATTAGAGTTAGGGACGAGTTATGATTAAATTACCTAGGGTTAGGGCCGAGTTAGGTTAGATTTTATGGTCACTGGGAATGTATGAATATAGGTAATGTATTTGTGAATGACGGCTTGTGACGGCTTACATTTAAAAACTGCACGTGTAGGGGCTGAAATGACGAGCTGTTTTCAGCCACTGGAGAGTAACTTTGGCGGTGGAACAATTACATCCGAAGTTCAACCCCAGACCTTTTTTAACCTAAATTTAGCATATTAGCATTACCAAATGTATTGTAACAAATCTTCATCTTTGTACCTTTAAACACTCTTTTATTCAAATTTTGTATTATATTCAAAAACAGAGATACCTCAGTAAAAACGGCGTTTCCAGTCTCGCATATCGCAACAGGAAAAACATTTGTAGTGCAAAACAAGACGAAGTCCTGTGCTCTTACATTTGCCTGGGGATTTTATTTTAAAAAATAATTGTTTACCTCTTTCATTTAAATATTTAATAAGGCTTACCCTTGCCAGTGGGTAGGTAGTAAGACAACACTGAATAGAGCAAAATGCTGTCAGAATTGCCAGCGGGAATCCGTATATTTTGTTAAACCGAGCCGTGAGACTAAAACAGAGATTACAGCGGTTAACTTACTGTATAATTAAACTGACTCACATACTTAATAATTTGTGAATGTAATTTGTAAGAAAACAAATGAAAATCTCTGTTATCCGTTGTTGATCTAGCCTGAAGTTCTTTCTTCAGAACTTCCATCCCTCCGGCGATAGACGTCCCGATGATACAAATGAAAGACATGTGTATGGACATGATGAGAGTTCCGAAGAACATGGTGAAAACTTGGAACACCATTGCTAAGGCTTTAAGGTCTTTCGGTACGAACAGTGTGCCGATCGAGTAAGGCGATTTGTAGACATTAAAAATTAACAGGTGTAAAATGCTCATGAGACAATTGCAGCAAGTATAAACTATATATGTCGAAATGAAGAAATAGGCTTGGCGTTTTCCTCTATTCGACCATTTGTTTAAGATAGAAGCATTATTTTCATTCTCGTAGAGAATATTGTAGAGATTTTCGATATCTTCGATCAGAATTTTCACGGCTTTGCTTTTCAAGATCAAAATGGCCTGCGAAAAACGAGCGAAAATTAAAAAAACAGCTCCACTGAGTAGCTTTAATCGTATATTTATTATAACATTACCTGATTGGAAACTATATGGATACTTGCTGTAATATAAAGCAAAGTTTCGAGTTTGTCAATTATTGGGATAGGCACTTCTATCATAAACTGAAACGATGACATTAACAGAAACGAACCACAGCAAAAGCACAATAACGTCCAAACCCTGTCTATCCATTTCGAATGACCGTCCGTCAATGGTAGAACTCCTATCCCTGTCAAAAGATTCTTGAGGAGCAAAATCGAACTTTTCTCTTTTCCCATATTGCGAGTCAAATGAGACAACGCCTCTGCCCGTTCGTATCGACTTCATTCAAAATAGAACAATGAGAGTTTGATTAATTATTGAAAAACACCGCCGGGGCGAAAGAACGGACGGAATTCGCTAAAATTTTATTAGATTAGGAGAAACTAGTCTATAGTTATCTACTTATCCTTTACGTACGCCGTCGGTTTAAGTAAATTTCCACCGTTTATTTTTAGTCAAAATATACCAGGTTTATAATTTAATGAGTTTGAAGAAAAATATTCTGGAAAAACATATACCGTCGATAATTAAATAACTCGTTCTTCATTCGACCTTTTCTCTTTTATGTTAATAAAATTCAAATCTTTTCTTTAACTGATTAATTCCATTAAAAAAAAAATTGAAACATCAGTCGGTTTCATTTATTGTTACAGTCGGATCAATAAAACAAAACAATCTATTTTCGCTGCTTAATGCTGTTTTATTTTCGGAAGGGGAGAAATGCTAGTCAAGCCCGAATAAAAATCTGCCACGTCTGAGTGGGTGTGCCAGGGTTAACCGAGTTTTAGAAAAGCTGATATTTCTCTGGTTAACAAAGAAATCTGTAAGAGAGTAATAAATACTAAACAAAATAAAGCTTTACAGCTTTGTCTGTAAAAAACAAGCAGAGCAAAAAAAAACTCAATTTATTCTGTCGTCCGACAGAATAAAGGGAATGTTAAATTTGACAATTATCAGTTTTATTAGACTCTCAGGCCAACGTCCCTATTTTTACTGAGATCAAAGTTTCTTGATTATTATTATGAAAATAAAAAATGCTTTGTTTACAAAAGAAATATTACTTACAAATAGATCTTCAATAATAAAGCTTTATGGCTGGTAAAATGTTTACTAAGAAGAAAAAGACCAAGCAGAATAATAAAGAATTAAAACTAAAAAGACAGTTATCGATTAAATCCAGTTTTAAATTAAGTGAAATATTTTAACAAACCAAACTTGCATAATTAATATTTATGTCACACGTCAATTTATATCGTAGAGACAGCTTTGTTAGACTTCATGATTAGTCTTACAGTGCATAAAAAAGGGATTCCGCTTTTAGAGTGGAATCCGGGGATTCAATCCATTCGTGCATGAAAGATTAAAAGTTTTTTTTAAATTGATTTTTACATCTGTAAAACAATTACACCTGTAAAAAGCTTGTAAGAATAAAATTGAAATGAAATACTCCTTTAGAAAAAATAAATATGAACACTATTAAATTTTCTTCGTCACTTAGGGCGCCACGTGGCCATCGGTGTCTCACGGGGACCATCTGGGATGGGAGTGCAACTGAGCTGACGGACTTTATTAGGATGGGTGGAAAGGAATTGATGGAATTTTTTGTAAATGCTTTTTGCTACTTCTGGAACAAAGGGGATATTAAGGTTTCGGTGTAGGTTTGATACATAATGATACTTGTGAGTTGGAATATGTAGGTTGACACCCAGAATTCGATACCGTAAATCCACATAGGTTTGAGGACCATGGTATACAGGGTATATCAACTTCTATAGTCTACCCATTTAAATTCGGAAACTATTAGCTTTAGAAAAAATTCGTCTTAAACAAACCCCAAGTTAATTTAGGCTAGAAATCGCGTGGTGGTAACAGATTTAACATAACTTTCTTACCTAGCTGGTAAATGACACTAACTTTGTTAGTTTAAATGTGAATCTCATATTTTATCGTACAATTCTATTTTAGAGCTTATTATATGCCACGTTTACTGAAAGGAAAATTTTGATAGGATTGACCATTTCTGCGTTTGCTCGACGGAAGACGCTTTAGGGGGAATGCTTTTTGTAAGAAGAACCCTCCCCCTCCCAGTTTATTTCGAACTCATAAATACGGGCGTAACACTCCTAATGAAAAATAAACTGATAACACTTTTTATTGCAATAATAAAACGGTTTACACTTGCCGCGAAATCTGCCGTCTTCTTGTTAAATCATTAGGGCAGTTCATTACCGCTGCAAATTACGGCTAAAATTAATGTACTGGCATGCTAACATTTTTGTCATAAAACCACTGACCATTTACCCGAAGAAAATGGCCCAAGAAATAAAAATAAATCGAAATGCTAGGAAACATCCAGTATTTGACCTGAAAAAAGGTGAAATTTTCAAAACGATTCCCACAAAAAGGTAATTTGAAATTTACGTATTTATTCAATGCAAATTCGTCTTAAACAAACCCCAAGTTAATTTAGGCTAGGAATCGCGTGGTGATAACATATTTAACATAACTTTCTTACTTTGCTTGGAAATGACACTAACTTTGTTATTTTAAATATGTATCTCATATTTTTATTGTACAATTCGAATCTAGAGCTTATTTTATGCAAGTTTTACTGAGAGGAAATTTTTTATAGAATCGATCATTTCTGAGTTGTGTCCGACGGGAAGACACGTGAGGGGTGTGCTTTCTGTAACAACATGATGGCCATCCCCGTTTATTTCGTAAACCATTAACCTTAGCAAAAAATGGTATATATAGTAAATGGTTATACAAATCCCAATTTAATTTTTTCGGCTTAGCAGGTCCGGTCCCATGTCAAAGCAACACCGCGATTTCGTTTTTTGGGTGTTACTACCGGACGTGTTCGGTTGGAGTTAGGATAGATAAATGACCCATGCTCATCCAAATTCTGGTATAAACGCAGGAAAATACGACGAACAGGGGTCTCCTATCCGGAAACCTCTCTCTGAAAAAAGTGAAGAAAAGGATAATTAAATGAATTGAAAGGATATGCTAACCTTAGAAAATAGAGTAGACCTTCTTCTCGGCCTAGCATCAACAACAGCAACAAGCATATCTCTCTTCTCGGCGCTTCTATACATTTCTGTTGGAAAGCAGAATATGAAATGAATATTCAGGTATACATTATTGTGCGAAAGAATCCAAATGATTTCATAAGGATTAACTTCGAAAAAATTACAATAAGAGAGGTTATTGACGTTCGAAATGAAACTTAACTAGACCTAACAGAACATCTTTAACATTGGTATTTTTATATACATATTTACAATTCGATCAAAAAGCTAAAACAAAATGGAAAACAATACCATAACTCGGTCAAAACAAGTGAGAACATATTTTTTGCTTGGAAAAGAAAAAAGTACGGCATAACTCATAAATGGTCGATTCTATAAAAAAATTTCTTTCAGTAAAGTGGCATTAAATAAGCTCTAGAATCAAATTATACTATAAAAATAAAGGATTCTCTTTTAAAATAACCGAGTTAGTGTCATTTCCCAGCTTCCAAAATTTACTTGTGGTTTGTATCAGACGATTTTTTACTAAAGTTAACCTTAACAAAACAGTTAACCTTAAAACCAGATTTACAGATTTAACTTAACTTCCTCATCTAGTTGGGAAATGACTCTAACTTTGTTATTTTAAGAGAGAGTTCTATATTTTTATTATATAATTCGATTCTAGAGCTTATTTTTATGCCACTTTATTGAAAGGAAAATTTTGATAGGATCGACCATTTCTGAGGTTTGCCCGGCGTATGCTTTTTGTTTGGATGGCCCTCTCCGTTTATTCCGAAAACGATTAGCATTAGCAAATTAAATTAGTATAGGAAACGTCTTAGAATAGGGTAGGGATCATGTGGTTGCTTTTACGATCGACTTTTATTAATTTCTGGAAAAAAAATTGTTTTACAAAAAAGGATTTTTTTATCGACTCCATTTTATTTACTCCCTCACGTGTCTTCCGTCGGGCTTAACTCAGAAATGGTCGATCCTATAAAAAAATTTCCTTTCAGTAAATGTGCCATAAAATAAGTTCTAGAATCGAATTCTACAATAAAAATATAGTATTCTCTTTCAAAATAACAAAGTGTCATTTCTCAGCTATATGGAAGATCATGTTAAATCTGTTACCACCACGCGATTCCTAGACAAAATTAACTTGGGATTTGTGAAAGACCATGTTTTGCTACGAATTAAATTGGTGGATTATAGAAGTTGATACACCGTATATATTAATTTTTTGTAAGTAAGTGAAAGTTTTGATCGTCTGTCAATCTGAAAATTGTTCAATACTCAAAAATAGTGCTGATGAAGTCATGGTTCGTTCATAGCGGATTGATTATAATCAAACAGTGAGTACCTATCCACCCTTGCTTTCCTTGTGGTCTGCCAAAGAGTTTGTAAAAGATAAAATTGGTCTCTTTGGTAAATTTTTTTAAAAATTATTTATAGAATAGAAGAAATATATTTAATTTGTGTTAATTGTTATTATTTTTTTGTGTAGTTAATAAATTGTTTTAAACTCGGGTTAATTTGTGTTATAAAAAGGCAATTCATCGGTTTGTATTCAGGTCCGATCAAGACCTCTGGTGCTCTATTTTCTGTTAATTAGGATTCAGTGGGTTGGGGCCACTCTTCCTTGGACCGAGAAAAAAGAGTAACGTTAATAGCACTAACTTTGAACCTAAACGAGAGCTACCCTTCCAGAGGCTTTATTAATCTAGCTCTCATAATGAGAACAGGTGTTTAATGACGATTGCTACATTTACAGTGTCCATTCCGTAAAAAATTCACCAAATTATAATTAAATTTTTATCCAGGAAATTAATTTAGAACCTCTGCTGGCCAATAACAAATTTCTTATACCTGCGACATCTTTACATAAATTATTTGTCCAGAACTCTTTGTTAAATATTTAAGAGCCACTAAAAAAATCGCTTTTTACCCACAAACCATTGCTAGAATTCCATACGATAGAATTTCAAAAATAAATGACCCCCCCCCCCCCTATTCATGAAGTATTGATTTTCTGGTAAATCCTTCAGAAAGATGCACTACTATACCACAGTTACAAATTTGTATTTTTATACTTTAGCTTAAGAATAATAAACATGTTTTATTAAAAAATTAGTATGTTTTTCCTGACTGAAATTAATAATTTCGAAGATATTATTTGTCAATTTTTCATTTTACATTTAGCCCTTTAAGTTTTGAATTTTTAAATCTTAGTAACTGAAATAGAAATATACTAGGATGATATAAAAATAAAGAGGAAAAAATTACATATTTAATCAAATTATATGCTTAATTGTCATTTATACACTTTTAACCTAACAACTTGTTTTACTAGACTCAAATTTTTCAGAATGAATTTTTGAATTCGACCAGAATGTTTATTATAAATTTTTGATGTTTTTTAAAATATATTTTAAGCCATTTTTTAATAATTGGCAGTTATTAAGTTTATTTATATTTATACAGAAAGTCTTCTCCGGATTTGCCGTTCTCAATTTGAAGAAAGTAGAGCTAGTCTCCGTTTTCGTGTTTCATTCTTTCAAAGCGGCCAAGGAAGAAGAAAGCTGCTTTCATTAAGTACTAAGTACAACTTGTCCGACTTAATGCGGCTATCAAGAAAAGGAGAACCGGCCTGCATTATTAAATAGAAATAGAGTCATTTTCCCGGCAAAAATTATTACCCTACATCTTCTACGTGCCTTCGAAATAGTAGAAATATATATTTAAACAGAGAAAAACATAGAAAATACGCTATGATAATGTGCCACGGTATCGATTAATATAAACAATTTATAATCAACCATGTTTATCACGTAATAGTCAAACATACAGCAAAAACCGAACCTAAGGTATTTTTCTATTTTTTCTTCCTTTTATCGATGTTTTTCGCAAAAAAAATGGATTTTGTTACAACGCCATTTGTAATAAGTAGCGAGCAAGCTGTGCGTATACAGGGTGAATTGCTACTCGTGCTACAAACTTCTCCAGTAGATTCTTCACCCTAAAATGAACAAAAAAGTTCATATTGTCCATGGTCCGATTCTCAACCATTTCAGAGTAATTTCGCTTTTTATCGATTTTGAAAGATATCACGTCCTGGCGTCGGAAAATCGTGATATCTTTTAATCTAAACATTTCTCTTAAAATCTATAAGCACCGTTGAAATCCCCGTTAATTTTTAGAGAGAATCAAAATCATAATTCCATTGAAATTTTTTAATTTAATTTAATGCCCATTTAGTATGTAATGCTTAAGAAGTTTACAAACAGCTAGAAGGTCAAGGAAGAAAGACCCAAACGTTTTGCCACCTTCATCTTCTTATTGAAAAATTAACGGGGATTTCAACGGTGCTTATAGATTTTAAGAGAAATGTTTAGATTAAAAGATATCACGATTTTCCGACGCCAGGACGTGATATCTTTCAAAATCGATAAAAAGCGAAATTACTCTGAAATGGTTGAGAATCGGACCATGGTCAATATGAACTTTTTTGTTCATTTTAGGGTCAAGAATCTACTGGTGAAGTTTGTAGCACGAGTAGCAAGTCACTCTCAAACATTAGCAATCCTTGAACCACCATTTTTTCTCTTTTTGTCATCAACATCTTGGTCTCACAACCACTAAATAAGAAAATGACGAGTGCGTTGGAAGCGTTATTAAATCAGGTAGTTTTCCTCAAATTTGCTGCCTTCTGAGACTAAAATTAGAAACTCTGGATTACTTTATACACTTTCCGATTTACACAATTTTCCACTCTTTTTGTAGTTCTGGCTGAAATAAAACACAAAAAATTAGCCCAAACATTTTGCCACCGTCATCTTCTTATTGAAAAATTAACGGGAATTTCAACGGTGCTATTAGATTTTCAGAGAAATGTTTAGATTAAAAGATATCACGATTTTCCGACGCCAGGACGTGATATCTTTCAAAATCGATAAAAAGCGAAATTACTCTGAAATGGTTGAGAATCGGACCATGGACAATATGAACTTTTTTGTTCATTTTAGGGTGAAGAATCTACTGGAGAAGTTTGTAGCACGAGTAGCAATTCACCCTGTATTTTACTGCATTTAATAACTGGCGGAAATAAATTTATAAACTATAACCAAGTACAAGAAATATTCCTTTTCATTCATTTTGGGTTTCTTTTTTTAACTTGACAGAGAGAAATTTTGACAAAAACTTTATAAATAATTCTGGTAAAGCGTGAATTGTGCTAAATTTTATTTTCTACCAATAAAATATACAATAACGTACAGTCCTTAGAACTGAATATTGTTCAAAAGATTATTTAGAGTTCGTGAGATGCGGTCTGGTGTGAGGTAGGTTATAGAAAAACATTTTCTTTATCGTGCTACGTTTCGATCTTAATTGAGATCATCTTCAGCGGCTGGTATTTATAAACATTGTTTAAATTATACAAATACATCTAAGATATGACAATGAATTTATACAATAATGTACACAATGTAGAAATTTTAGGTATTGAGTAAGTATTTCTACTCACTCAAAGTGTGTTTTCGTAGATGAGTCACTGTTGTGTGTCGGTTTGAGAGTGTGAGTGAGATATTAATGCTTTTTGTTTATACTGGGTGTTCTGCTACTCGTGTTAGAAACTTTGCCAGTAGATTCTAAATTCAAAATGGAACCAAAAAGTCCAAATTATGGTCCGAATCTCAACAGTTTCGGAATTATTTCACTTTTTCTGATGTTTTTAAGATTTCACGACCTTGCTTCAAATAAAAAATGATAACTCCAAAACTAAAAGTTTTTGGACAAATCCGCTGAGAACAATGAAAAGTACGTTAAATTCCCAATAAGATGTGATGTAAACGTTAGTGAAATAACCGTTTTAGTAGCGAAAATTTTTTTTTTTCCAACGAAACCTTCAACTACGGTTTTTTCTTTCCCTTGATCAATTTCTTCATCTTTGAAAAAGCAATTTTTTTAAGGAGTTGGGAACAAAATTCATAAGGATAGAAATTCATTTTTCTTTGTGGGGAAGGCTTCTTTGAGGTGAAAGGGACCGACAATTTATATTCATTTCTATTCTAAAATTTCGCGATCT